AGTGTGTGTGTGTGTGTGTGTGTGTGTGTGTGTGTGTGTGTGTGTGTATGAGTATGTGTGTGTTTCGCTCTCTATTTTCTTAATTCTCAATATCAAGTATATTTCCGTCTGTTGGCTTTCAGCCCTGCTGGACCTGACAGGCCTTGTTGAGCAACCCACCTCCTAAACGACATGAAATAACATTGAATCGGTATAGAGGTGTAAACGTCCACAGCGATAGTAACATTATTTTCTAATTCCTTTAATTCTCTCTGGCTCCAGGTGTTATGGCCAACTGCCTTGACCCCGGTACGGTGACCTCCACACGGGTCGCCAAATTCGGGAGTTCAGATTGGGAAGCGGCCTATCACGCTCTGGACCTGGCAGATAGTTCACGCTGAAGAGGTCTCGACAACACGGCAAAAGGTCTTAGGATAATGAACTCATACATATCTATAGCTAATTATCTCACCATAACAGAGCATACAGATCTTTGGATAATTAATTCACGATAAAACAACATACAAATATTTGGATAATTAACTTACGATAACACAGCATACAGATCTTTGGATAATTAATTCACGATAACACACAGCATGCAGATCTTTGGATAATTAATTCACGATAACACACAGCATACGGATCTTTGGATAATTAATTCACGATAACACAGCATACAGATCTTTGGATAATTAATTCACGATAACACACAGCATACGGATCTTTGGATAATTAACTCACGTTAACAGAGCATACAGATCTTTGGATAATTAATTCACAACAACAGAGAAAACAGATCTTTGGATAATTAATTCACGATAACACACAGCATACAGATCTTTGGATAATTAATTCAAGATAACACACAACATGTAGATCTTTGGATAATTAACTTACGATAACAGAGCATACAGATCTTGGGACAATTAATTCACGATAACACAGCATGTAGATCTTTCTACATCGAACCTACAATAAGAACACACAGTAAACTGTACAGCTCTTTGAATAATTAACCCACAACAACAACGAACGTACAGCATACATCTCTTTGAATAACTAACACACAATAACACACAGAAAACAGTTCTTTGGATAACTCACGATATTGTTGATAATCCCAACTTGATACGTAGAAAACAGTTCTTGGAATAACTAACCCATAATAACACACGGTAAACAGCTATTTGGATAACTAAACCACAAGAATAATGAACACAAACCTCAAGTGTTTTGAACAACTAACTCACGATCGAATACAGCCAACAACACTCTGGACAAAGTTCCTGATAGAACACAATACCGGTATAGAGCTCTTTGGACAATCAGCACACAATAACACACAGCGTAATATTATTATTTAATTTTCTTAGACTAATTTTTGACAATTAAAATTTTCTTTTTGACAAATCGTGCAGTGTGTTACCTTCCTTGTGTGTGTGTGTGTGTGTGTGTGTGTGTGTGTGTGTGTGTGTGTGTGTGTGTGTGTGTGTGTGTGTGTGTGTGTGTGCGCGCGCGCTTGTTGCTGTTGCTGTAGTTGTTTGTGTTATAGTTGTTGCCTTCATTATTATTGTTGTGGCTATGATTTGGCTATGACTGTTGTTATTGTTATTGTTGATGTTATGCTATTGTTGTTGTAATTGTTATAACTGTAGTTGTTGTTTTTTAAAAACAATTTTCCTTGCTACTGCTATTTTATTGCTGTTAATGTTTTTGCTATTGTTGTTGTTGCTGTTGTTGTTGTTGTTGTTGTTGTTGTTGTTGTTGTTGTTGTTGTTGTTGCTCACTTAACATACCTGATACCGATCTGGTGACAGTTTTGTGTTTCTTTCTTTGGCCTTGGGGTCCATTGAAGATGTTGCGACAGGATTACCGTTACCTGATAATTCAACTAATCCGCTCCACCCAGGAATCGAACTCGCGCCTTCTGCGCGTGCAGTGGAGCTCGAAGCATAACCAATACACCACATACGCCGGGCATGCTTCACTAAGTTTTACGCCTCCCAGACTATTTTTTCCTT